AATGAACAGGAGGCACTTTGGTGACAAATAGACTTAAGAAGCTAAAGCTGGAAGTGGAAAAGACCTTGTAGATCTTCAAGCCTCCTCTAGGTGCGGCCTGATGGATATACAGATCCATGACATTTTTTAAACCCTGGATCACAGCAAAGAGCGTACACACTGTGATTTAAAAGGCAGAGTGTCAGGGCTGGGGGTAAGCGAGAATGTTGCCACTTTTATGTCATGGCCATTGGGAAACAGCAGGATTCCACAAACTCAGGCTTTGGAAACAGGCTACCGTGGATTTAAATTCTGGGTCGTATGCTTACTTGTTGTGTGGCTTTGGGCAATTTCCTTCCCCTCTATGAGCCTCAGTTTCCTTGTCTGTGAAATGGTGGGAATAGCACCCACTTCACAGGATGGCTCTGAAGATGAAATAAAGTGATGCCTGTAAAACACTGAACAGAGTGCCTGGCACGTGGCTGTCACTCTATAACTGTGTGCACAATTGATGTCCTTTCACTAAACCAGTGATCCCCTACTTTGGCTCTGTCTTAGCACCACCTGTCTAGCTTTTGCAAATCCTAGTGCGCAGGCAGCACCCCAGACGGTCAGACGCCGGGGTGGGAGCTAGGCAGCAGCGTATTTTCCAGCTGCTCTTGTGTTTCCACATCCAGACAAGGTTAGGCATCCCTGGGCTAGATGCGCGCTGAGTGAGGGCTGGGCACAGAGCCAGGCCTGTCTGCAAGGCGCTGTGGGGACACAGCTGGGGAGGCAGCGGGCTGGGGCCAGGGGCAGTGTGGAAGGGACCTCTCCGCTCTCTCCAGGAGCTGTGGGCAGGGCCGACCTCAGGACCTAACTGAGGCGAATCACCCTGGGGCCTTTCCTCCCCCACTTCCAGCATTTTTATCAAAGTGAAACTAGCTTACAATGAAATGAAAGACCAACCTGTGAATAATGGCGTCCAAAGCAGACAGCGAAAGGAGAGAGGGAAGGGAAGGGAGCAAGGAAGGAGGCAGCAGAGACAGCCAAGGGGGTCCTCCCATGCAGGCACCCTGACTTCCAGTGCAGCTGCCCAAAGTGATGGCCTCCTTCACCCCAGATTGTCTAGGACAGGGAGACATGACTTTGCATGGGGTTTCCCCAGATCACTCCTGGGAAGTACGGTGTGGTCCCAGGCCCAGCAGCACAGCGGCCCCAGCGAGCTGGTCAGAACTGCAGAAGCCTCGCTCCCACCTGCTGAGTCAGGGTCTCTAGGGTGAGCCTGGGAATATGCATTTTATCAAGATTCCCAGGTGATGAGCATGCTCTGAAAGCCAGAGAAGCAGTGCTTGTGTAGTGAAAATAGAACACGCTTTAAGGGCAAACAATGCTTCTGAGTTCGAACCCTGCCTCTTTCACTTACTGGGTGAGCTTTGAAAGGTTACTTTAACTTCCCTGAACTCCTGTTTCCTCATTTGTAAATTGGTGACAAAAAGAATTCCCTTGATAATGGACCGCCAAGGACATTGTGGATAAAATCGATGGGGGGAGTCTATAGACTTGGATAGAAGAAAAAAATCATATTTATTTCCACTACTCTCTAACTGAAATTTAGCGTTTTCTTTGACTATGAAGGCAAGCAGTGTTTGTCAGCAGCCTGTGCCTTTGTCACCAGTGGAAATAGCAGATATTTTCATATTACATCATAGTTGTTGCAGGTATCTCTAAATATCATTTGTTTTCACCTACTTCAAAATCATGGTAGTTTTTAGACTTGCTGCTAGATCTTGCTATTTAATGAAGCAATACACTACTACATGACAAATTCTTTAAAATTTTATAAAAACTGTATTTTAAACTAATTGGTTTTCTTTGTAATTTATTTATTTATTTTTTTGGTATGCATTTGAAAACATTAATTAAAGGCCAGGTGGGGTGGCTCACGCCTGTAATCCTAGCACTTTGGGAGGCTGAGGTGGGCGGATCATTTGAGCTCAGGAGTTCGAGACCAGCCTGAGCAAAAGTGAGAGTCGATCTCTACTAAAAAAATAGAACTCCAGTGCACTCTGGCCTGGGCAATAAATAGAA